TGCCCCCCCCACAGGGATCGGGCCAGGGCAACGCCCCACTTCCCCCCATGAGGCCCAGGGCATTGAGGGCAGGGTGCCACCCCTCCCCTTTGTGGGGGCCCAGGGGCCATCCCTGCAGGGCCAGTCTCTGTCTCTGTGAATTGTGGGGGGGTGCCCCACGTTGGCCGGCCTTGCCCTGCATGTGTGGAAGGGGAGACAGCCCCCCAGCTCCCCTGGGCAGGTGCCTCCTCTTCTTCCCTGCCCTGGCCAGGGGCCCCCTTCTCCAGCCCTGCCAGTTGCTGGCTGGCCCACCTGTCTCCCCCCCCCTCCCGTGGCACGGAGCCTTGGATCTGTGTGAAATTGTTCCTGCCCATGCTCCCCCAGCATGGCTGGGTGCTGTGCCACCTTTTCTGCCCACCATCTCGCCTGGCCCTCTGAGGCTGGGCCTGTGTTAATCATCTTCAAGGGTTTGCTGAGGAGAGCAGAGTGAGAAACAAGCTAAGCAGGTGGAGCCTGGCAGGGTTTATGAGGCTATCAAGCCATAAAACCAGGAGCGGGGAGGGGACCAAGGCCCCAGGCCCTGTGAGGGAACAGGGCTGGGCACTTTGTGTGCACAGGGCCACTCCAGACTAGCTCTGTGACCTTTGCCCAGGTCCCCAGTGTATCGCTAGGGCTCATGGCTCAGGATCTGCTGGGTGGGTGGTTTCTGAGGCAGGGCTTTGGGGCTGGGCCCGCCTCTGTAAACAGCTGTCCAGCTTTTGGAGGTTTTGTCTCCCACCTAGCACTCAGAGCCAGGCTTTGGGGCCACACTTCTAGTATTAAGTTGCCTAGACTGGGATAACTCGCTCCAAAGCAAGCAGGGCTGCTCCTGTTCTCAACACAAAACCTTTCTGCTGCAGTGCAGGGGCTTGGGGAAAGGCGATGATGCTTGGGGAATAGGCAGATGTTGTCCCAGGCCTTGCACCCCTCCGCTTCCCCAGCCTTCATCTGAGGCCTATGGGGTGAATCAGTACCGCTTGCTCACAGCCTGGGGCTGTTTGTGCCTACCATGGGAAACCTTCCTCATCCGCTGGCTGCTCCGTTATGTGAACACTTTTTTGTAGGAACAGAATGGCCGTACTGGGTCAGACTGAAGGTCCAGTAGCCTCGTAGTCTGGCTTCCAAACATGGCAATACTAGGTGCCCCCAAGGGAATGAACAGGGCAGTTATCCTGTGATCCATCCCCTCTTGTCCAGTCACAGTTTCTGGCACCCAGAGGTTTAGTGACATCCAGAATATAGGGTGTGTTGTGTCCCTGACCTTATTGGTAATAGCCATTGATGGCCCTGTCTCCCATGAATTTACCTAAATATTCTTTTAATCCAGTTATGCTTTTGGCCTTCACGACATCCCCTGGCAGTGAGTTCCACAGATTGACTCGAGTGTGAACTCCCATTTTGTTTGTTATAAATCTGCTGCCTATTAAAGTCATTGGGTGATCTGGTTTGTGTGTTCTGGGACAGGGTAAATAACACTTTTATTCACTTTGTTCCATGCTGTGTATGATTTTACAGACCTCTGTCATCATTCTCCAGTCATCTCTTTTCCAAACTGAACAACAGTCCCAGTTTTATTACACTCTTCTCGCATGAAAGCTGCCCATATTGCTAATCATTTTTGTTGCCCTTCTCTGTACCAGGAGCAGAACTCTCATGTCTGTGTCCCTAGTCCTGTATGAGGGTCACTGGGGCCCTGCACCCCATGATTCCTGCTCCCAGATGGATCTGGGGCTGGGCCCCTCGTCTGGGTCTGGGGGTTCCACGGAGCAGAGGCTGCTTGAGGGCTAGGTGTTGCAGTGCTGAGTGGAGCAATGTGGTGTCTCTGCACTACGGGGAGAGCACGCTAAGGTACGCACATTGCCCTCCTTCGCATTGTGTGCTGACATGAGAGGCTCTCCCGCTGACTCCCCTTGCACTTCTCATTCCATCCGGGCTGAAGTGTAGACCTGCCCTGCCTGGGAACCTTTGGGCCTCAGCAAATTAGGTGCCATCCTCAAGCCCCTGCTTGGCTGCTGCCCAGCCCTGCAGGCACCTGACATTGCTCAATGGCTAAATATTCACTGTACACACCCCCTGGTTTGGTTTGGGCTGCTGGGCATGTATACACCTCGCGGTAGGCCTCCAGACACCTGGTGAAGAGAGGTGTTCTCCTGCCTCTCTCGTCTGCCCATGCGGGGCCCAACAAAGTCGGACTGAGGAGTTGTCCCTGTCATAACCTGTAGCCCAGTGGCTAGGGCACTCCCATGGGCTGGGGAGACCCAGGTGTAATTCTCCCCTCACTTGCTGGGGAGAAGGGGGAGATCCCTCTTCAAGTCCCCCCTCTGCCTGCTGGGGAGAAACAATGACCTGAGCACCTCTCAGCAGCGTGCGCTAACCACGGCTTACAGGGGAGTCTGCCATGGAGCTGCCTCAGGCTCTGCTGGTGACATTCTATTGCAGGCGCTGACTTCCATTGTCGGGGGGGGGGCTCTGCCCCAGGCCTTTCACCCCCTCTATACTTTCCCTTAAGGCCACACCCCACCCTCCCTTACGCCCGCCCTCCTCACCTATGTCACCAAGCAGCTGCTTGGGGTGGGTGGGAAGGGGAACTACTGACCTGCAGACCCAAGGCTGCCAGGGGTGCTCAGCACCCACCAATTTTTCCCCAAGGGTGCACTAGCCTTGGATCACCCATGGGTCAGCACCGCTGTGTTCCACTGAGGAGAAATCATTGTCTAGCGGCTGGGGCCGTGCGCGAGAGAAGGGCTCCGGAGGCTGTTGGACCAGGCACCTTCCTAGGAGGCGGGAGATGCAGGGTCCAGCAATTATGTATCCAGAGTGGAAAAGCTCTGACAGGAGAGACAGCTGGACCCCCATCCCAGTGCGCCAGCCCTGTGCTTAACGCCTCCCCTGAGGGTAGGAGGCCCATGGGGGAGTGCGCTGAGGCACCTGTTCCTCCAGAGGGGTTTGGGAGGGGCCCTGGCACTGCGCATGCTCAGGGCCATGCCATGCCATGCCATGCTTGCTAGACTAGACTACCCCATTGCAGTGTGGCAAACCTACCAGCTCAGGCTCAGCAGGGCATGGGCATCATGCTCCTGCCTGTCTTCCCTGGTACCCAAAGGGAGGCAGCTTTGAGCATGCCCAGAGAGTTCCTCCAGAGGGGTTTGGGAGGGGCCCTGGCACTGCGCATGCTCAGGGCCATGCCATGCCATGCCATGCTTGCTAGACTAGACTACCCCATTGCAGTGTGGCAAACCTACCAGCTCAGGCTCAGCAGGGCATGGGCATCATGCTCCTGCCTGTCTTCCCTGGTACCCAAAGGGAGGCAGCTTTGAGCATGCCCAGAGACAGGTGTCAAGACAGCTTTCCCCAACCCTGATGTAGGTGCCTGTGGGACATGGGGCAGTCAAGCTGAGGTTCTGTGGGTTGCAGTCATGCATCTGGGATTCAGGTGGCTAAGTCCCTTTGCCAGCTGGGACCTCAGCCCTTTTCAGGCTTGTGCAGTGCAACCAACCAGGCTGGTGTTGCTGCTTGTACTGCTGTTATGGATCCCAACTAGCAATGCTGAAAGCTGACCATGGTGTCCTGAGTTTCCTCTGAGAGAGGCCGAGCCCCATGGCCCCACAGCAGAAAGTTACCGGGGCAGGGGCCAAGTTGCTTGAAGGTCTGCGCCTTCCCAGCCAGGGCTAATGGTGGTGCTGGGCCCAGGAGAAGAACACTGCTTCCCCCTGCCCAGGGCTCACGTCAAGCCATGTACCAGGTCAGCCCAAACAACAGGCACCTATGCTGCTGGCTTTCCTAGGAGGGGAAAGGAGAAAGGACTGGGCATGCAGGTGGGCCTGCCCAGTACTGTGGGGAAGCAGAGCCAGGTGAGCACCAAATCCATTAGCATATGGCAGAGCTCCTGGGGGCACGCAAGCTGGTCTCTGCCCAGTCCATCTCCTAGAGCTGCAAGGGGCCTCGAGAGGTCATCAAGTCCAGTTCCCTGCCCTCACAGCAGCACCAAGCACCATCCCTGACGGATTTGCCCAGATCCCTACGTGGCCCCCTCAAGGGTTGAATTCACAACCCTGGGTTTAGCAGGCCAATGCTCAAACCACTGAGTTATCCCTCCCCCCGAGTCCTCTGAGAGTGCAGGGCTCCTGACTCTCCCCTCCCCCCAAGGGCTCTCCGCAGCCTGGCAAAGGAGAGTCACGTCCTGAGGGGGCGGCTGCATGCCGCACGGGGTGAAGGACGTAGCCGGTCAGGGCCTGATCTCAGCACCTGCTGCTCCGGAGGTTTGGCTCAACCCCAGATTGCAGGGCAGGACAAGCTGGCTTGAGAGCGAGAGGGGGGAGCAGGACCCCCTCAGCCCTAGCCCTGTCCTGGGTGCTCAGACACCTGCCTCCCCTCTGCAGGGCTCCCCTGGGCTGGGCAGGTTTGCCTGTGCTTAGGTAGGAGGGCGTGGCCGGTCCCACACACGCACTGTGCTGCTGGCAAGCAGCTAATGCAAACAGCTTGCTCAACCCGGCCCTTCCCCCACCGGGGAAGAGACCTGTCCCCACCTCGGCAAGGCGAGCAGGACACTGTGAACTGTGCCTGGCTGGAAGAGTCCCTGAGCCCCCCCCGGCCAGGAGCTGGCCCCCATGAATGGCCCCCCTCTGTGCACTCACTGGGCAGGGGCTAGGGACGGGGTTCAGGGGGGATAGTGAGCCAAGGTAGCGTGCAGGGCAGATCCATGGGGGAGGGAGCAAGTCCCCTGAGGTGGCTGGCTCTCCCCTGCCCTTCCAGACAGTAGCTGGGGCCCAGGCTGCCGCCGGGGGGGTGACTGATCCCTAGCACGGTGCTGCAGACGCTCGAGAAGGACACGTCACTCGGCTGTTACTGAACCGGACAGTTTTATTGAAAAATGTAACCCGTACAAAGCAATGGGAGCAGGACTGTCTCGCGTGGAGCAGGGAGCGCAGGCAGGTGCCCAGAGAGACGACGGGCTGCGCGCCGGCAGGGGGGAGGCTCTTTCTTCTTCTCCTTCCCCACAGAACCTGCCTCCAGCCCCCAGAAGGCCAAGCCTAGGTCCCGGCAGTGCCGGTGGGTGCTAGGAGGCTGCATGTGCCAGCAACAGCTTCCTTTGCAAAGCAAACCATGGTGAAAAATCTCTTCTAGGCACAAGAAACCACCCTTATTTACACAGGCATCAAGTCTGTGGGCTGCCCAGCTCAGTACTGACCCAGTGCTCTTGGCTGGCAGAAGGATCCCCAGAAGGCCAAGCCTAGGTCCCGGCAGTGCCGGTGGGTGCTAGGAGGCTGCATGTGCCAGCAACAGCTTCCTTTGCAAAGCAAACCATGGTGAAAAATCTCTTCTAGGCACAAGAAACCACCCTTATTTACACAGGCATCAAGTCTGTGGGCTGCCCAGCTCAGTACTGACCCAGTGCTCTTGGCTGGCAGAAGGATCCCCCCT